CTACATTACATGAAATATGCTTGAACATTTTAAAATGGACTTTCTAATCAAAATCAGCATTTTTTTTAATTTAAATTCAATTAGCCAACACAGACAAAACATAAATGGCTTATAACTAAGTGAAAACATGATCAACCTGCTTGGTAATCTGGAACTTGTAGGTCAAACCAAAGTGAGAATTCTCACCTATAGGCAAGTAGGTGTTTATTCTGAAACTCTTTTGAAAACTATTTAGCATTGACTAGTAAGGTTAAGTATGGGTATGTGTCTCTTATGACCCAGTGATTTCCTTTCTAGATATAGATCTTAGGTAAGCGAGCACAAGGAAACGTGGGTACGCAAGTGTTCATGGCAGCAAAGAAGAATACAACTCAAATATCCATAATAGTCAGATGGATTAATCAACCAGTGCATTTGTAAAACGGAGTAGTAAAACTAAAATGAATAACACAATGGTACACATGAAGATAGATAATTGCAAAAATGTGATTTTGAGTGAAGGAAAGAAGTCACAAAGGATTACACGTAGTGTGACTCAGTTTATATAAAGTTCAAATCCAGGAGATGCTAAACAATATATTTTTAGGAATACACGCCTATGTGACAAAACCATAAAGGAAAGTAAAGAAATGCTTACAAAATCCAGGACAGTAGATATCTCTAGAAGGGAGATTTGGAGATGTGAGTGGAGGAGCCTATATGGACATTGAAGAAACTGGAAATGTTTTATTTCTGAAGCCAGTAAGTAGGTGCATGAAAGTTGGTATTATTTTTATTATTATTTGATATGTACTTTTATACCTTATACACCTGCAAAAATATGTATTTCCCTATAAAGTTTGTTTTCAAAGCATGGAATTGCTATGATGGTAAAGTTGTATATATTTCTGCTCATTGAGAAAGTAGGATTGAACAATATAAAAAATAAGATTTTTACAAAGTCTCTCTATTTCAATGAATTCCAGACATAATTAGAGCATAATGATGCAGATTCACAGATTTGAACAGACTCTTTTTTTTTTCGGTTTTTTTTTTTTTTATTATGTTATGTTAACCACCTGAACAGACTCTATCTTATAATAGCTGGGGGTGGTGAGTGACAAGAAGGAGTGATATATCCAGATTATTGATTGGGTGGATGGTGTCCTTACCTTTGGCCATCGAATCATTCACAGAAGGAATATGAGCTTTAGTGGTGAAGTTAATATATGGTCAGTTTTTGCTGTATTTGAGGTGCTTATGAGAAAACCACCTATCTATGCCTTGGACGCAGTTTAATACCTTATTTTAGAGCAAGGTGGAATGATATGGCTTAGAAATATTAATTTGGATAATAGACACTTAAAGTAAATGCCATGAGTATGCAAATTTGCCTACACAGAAAGAAGCAGGGTGGCAGGGGAAGTGAGGAAGAATGAGGAAATGCTTTGTGAGACTGTTTATTTCATGTGAATTCTTTTACAGCTCATAGAATTTGAATGTGGCTAAAATTATTCTGAGACTTTCATAGTTTGAGGTAATTTATTTTTTTGTCAGTAACCTCAAGTTTCTTCCCACCTTTCTGTACCAATCTTCCCAGTGTCTATTAATTCTTCTTAAACTCATCTTGGCTGATGGTTTTGAAGTTTAGATATAACATGATTAGGAAATCATTTTTTAAATTTTACATTATTCTTTCAAAATGATCCCCTAACATTGATAGCTCCCAGACCGTAGTATAATTTTTCTAGAGAAGCTATAAAGTTCATGTTCTTATAAATTTTTAAATCCTTCAGAAAGAATGAAAAGAAGGAAGGATTACCAAGAAAAAATTCATATCAGGGATTTGTCTGACTTGTGTGATGCCTGGATTTTTTTTTTTTAATTTAAATTCAATTAGCCAACATAAAGTAGTACGTCATTAGTTTCAGATGTGGAGTTCAGTTATTCATCAGTTGCATATAACACCCAGTGCTTGTCACATTGCGTGCCCTCCTTAATGTCCATCACCCAGTGACCCCATCCTCCCATCCACCTGCCCTCCAGCAACCCTCAGTTTGTTTCTTAGAGTTGAGTCTCTCATAATTTGTCTCCCTCTCTGATTTCCTCCCATTCAGTTTTCCCTCCCTTGCCCTATGATCCTCTGCTCTGTTTCTAATATTCCACATATATTGTGGATAATTGTCTTTCTCTGATTGACTTATTTCACTCAGCATAATACCCTCCAGTTCCATCCATGTTGATGTATAAGATTTCATCCTTTTTGATATCGATGTAATATTCCATTGTACATATACCTCATCTTCTTTATCCATTCATCTGTCGATGGATATCTGGGCTCTTTCCAATAGTTTGGCTATTGTGGACAGTGCTACTATCAACATTGGGGTGCAGGTGCCCCTTCGGATCACTGCATTTGTATATTTGCGGTAAATCTCTCATAGTGCGATTGCTGGGTTGTAGGGTAGCTCTATTTTTAACTTCTTGAGGAACCTCAATACTGTATGTTGTCTTTTAAGTAACAGAATCATGGTTCTGTTATGAAAATGCCCTACCAACATTCAAATGAGAGTGTGTCTGTGTAAACGGAGGAACTATAACTGAGTATTTTTTTGGTTCAATTAATACCTGTTGTAAGCCTATTTGATATTAACTAGAAAATTGAAGGGCCCAAGAAAAATGAATATCCTTTGAAATGCTTCCTGAAAAAATAGGTTTTTTTCTTAATTTATGGAAGTTTTAAACGTATTTTTTTTTTTTGGAAGTTAGTTTTCAAAACAGTTAACCTTTGTCTATAGAACTTACTCTTCTGTAAGTATTGAATAATTGAAAGGTTATGTTTCTAATAGAAGTGATCTGTCATCTTATTTCTTGTTTTCATGCAGCACCATCATGGGTAAAATTACTGAAATCAGCTATGATGCTTTTTTTTTTTTTTTTTTTTACAATATGGAAACCTGTTGAATCCAGCTGAACAAACATAATATATTTGTTGATCCCCAATTATATACAAAACACTTTGCTAAACAATTTTGGAGATAGATGAAGAAGACAGACCAATGAGACATACATGAAACGTAACATGTATACATTGTTACAACTTCCTCCAAGGTGAAGTTTAGGATTAATCATGTTGGTTGTTTAAAAAAGGGGAGGGAGGATTTGCCAATATACACTTTTACTTTACCAGGAATTTCCACACACTCCGCCCTACAAGTCAATAAAAACATTTAGATACCAGTTGAAAACAGTGTGGGAAATATGATAAGAAATCGGAAGTAAGAATAAGCCCTGAAACACACCACCAACGTGGGGCAACTGACAAAACACAGGAAGAACAAATATTCCTTCACTCTTTGTTTAATTTAATTGACGCTCCTAATCATGAATTAGTTATAAAAAAAAGTTAAATTATATCTAGTATTTCTTATTTAAAAGAGTGTATCAGTGTTCAATACGTTTTGGAGTCAAAGTCCTCCTTTATTTTTTCTGTTTTGGTGGGATTAAATTCTTTAGTGATCAGGAAAACTCACTATGTAGAGTCCCTTATAAGGATAATGCAGTAGAACTAGTTAGTGTTGTTTTGTGTATAAAATTCATCTGTTTCCTTTTCAAAATATGTGGAAGAGACTTTGTGAATAACAAGTAGTTACCTGTTATAAGGTTCTCATATAAAGAGCTCTGTGTATTTTTCCTTTATCATAAAATCTACCTGCAGATTTTGTTCTTCCCATTTTCAGAGGAAGAAATTGAGGCACAGTTTAAGAAACTTTTTCAAGTTCCTTCAATTAGTAAGGACAGAATTTATTGATCTTGTAAGTAATTAGCCAGTTTCATAATCCTAGCTTTAATTATTTGGTTAGTCTTCAATATGGTCATGATTAAATATTTTTTATTACAAAAAGTGAATCAACTCAAATTTGCTTAAGCAAATTAGGGACATGATTATAAAGAAGCAAGAATATCTCTTAGAACCCAAGGACAAGTTGTGAAGTTGCAACCATGGGGCCAAGTGTCTTCGCTTCCTTTTGTGCACCTAGGTCATTGTTTTTACTTTGCTGACCAGCTTTCTCTGTGGCTCCTTACATCTGCTGGAGAAAAATACATCTTCTGGGCATTCATTATCATCAACTCTACTCACACAGAAAGACTGAGGAGAGCTGCCTTTTAATTCTAGTTCTCAAGAAAGAAAAACCTGATTAGCCCAGCATAGGGTGGGAGATTAAACAATGTGTCCTAGTCCTCTACAGCCAAGGAAGCAAGATTACCAATAGTAATATAACTATTGGGGTCTACCATGCCTGTGCAATGGTGGTGGTCCTGTGATGGCAAGGAAGTTCTCAAAGACACGAAGTGGGTCAGACAGTATGGCCCTTCACTTCAGATAGTAATGCATGGCGGTTAAGATCATTCTGGAGCCCACTTTCTAGATTTATTTCTTAGTTCTGCCATGACTGGTTGAGTAACATTGTGTTACTTAACCTTTTTGTGCTTACTTATTTTCTTTCTCTAATGTGGTGATAATAACAGTATTACATGTAAGCTATTTAGAACAGTTCCTGGCAACATTGTAAACATTTAATGCATCTTGGCTATTATTTTATCCTTGTGGCCAATACATTTTACTGACCGAATAACTTAATCTAATTTTAAGTTTAGTAATATTCCATTACTCCTGTGACTTTCAATGCTTCAAAAATGGTATTTACAAAATGAAATGATCTTGCTCTTATTTTTCAAATGTTAAATTATCTCCAAGCTGTTCAAAATTTTGATAACAAAAGGGGAAAAAAATAGAGGTTTTACATAGGATAGTTATTTGTTATAGTAAGGAAGATTGATTTCCTAATAAACTTGAAAAATACCCTAATTCTTCCTGGTGAGTAAAATGTTTATATAGAAAAAACTGTAATAAAACACATTTGCATAATTATTGAAAATTGTGAACACTGTTTATTAAGTTAAATTATACAGGTGAGATCACTTAATTTTCTGTTGATTAATTACACATTTATTTTCAGGTACATGACAGATGGAGGGCTGAACCTATATACTAGAAGTCTGAACCGAATACCAGACACAGCCACTTCCAGAGACGTCATCCAGAGAGGAGTTCATGATGTGACAGTGGATGCAGACAGGTAATGCTATCAGCATGTACAATGGTGAGAACATAAAGCAATTTCATAAATGAGATCCCAGGAGTTTGACAGTATAAGTCAAAGGACTTTTTATTTCAATATAATAACTATTTTGAAATATTTTAAAAAACTAAACTGGTTTTTCTTATAAGACTTGTTTAGCTCTATTTACTGCATTGGTGAGAATATTTAACAACTTTCAGTTACGTGGCAGCAAATTTTAACATCTGTAAAAGCAAAATGATACACATAGACTTATATTCTTTCCTTGAAAAGAACTCTGGCTGATGTTTGTTTTGGTTTGGATATTGTCAGATTTACCTGGAGGCTAATGATATAAAGATTAAAACATAATTCAAATTATCAGGTATAATAAACTTGATGCTTTTCTTGAGGGGTTTGTTGAGAGCATACAACTCTTGCTTTAGGCTAATTTCTGTTTTGTAATTGTTTCAGATTGTTTAAAGGTATGTGTGTGTATGTGCATGCATGCGTGCTTGCTTCATATGCTAGATATGATTTTGCTGGAAGTTGTTATGTCAATTTGATCAGAATCACTGCTGTTAGAGAATATTGTTCTTGTAAAATAATATTGTAAGACATCCTTCTGACCTGATTTTGCCCTCTCTTCACTCAAAATTTTGACTTTATTCATCAGGAAGGGATTGCCATTTCTTAAACTATGATATATCAATACCTAGAGTGGTTCTTTACTAAAGTCAGCATTGAGTGAGAGGACAAATGTTGTGACTTAGTGCATCCACATTCTGAAGTTAAGAACTGTGCACAATTCATTGTGCATTTTAACATAGCCCACTCAAAAGGCTTGAATTCTGATATTAGTCGTCAGTTTCTCCTCACTCAAATGCTGTTGATGTATTGGGGGGGGAGGATTTGGGCCTCTAAATACTCTTTAAATAGATATTCAACTAGCCCTTCTATTTTTATCTCCACCTTCATACCCATTTTCAGAAATACCACCGATTTTTAAATATTTGGGGTCTTCTCCAGGATAAGTAGGCTTTCTCAGCTTTTCTTATCATGTGTTCTGGAAGCCACGCTCTCAGATCTAGGGTGAGGGTATGTGCCTGGTATCCTGCAGTTCAGAGACCCCTCCATAGGGTTAGGGTTAGGGTTGGGGTTAGGAGTGAGGGTTAAGGGTTTGGGTATGTGCCTGGTATCCTGTAGTTCAGAGACCTCTCCAGAGAATAAAACCACGGACTTCTACTGAGGTGAGAAGAGACATGGCAGCCATCTTCGGAGCTGAGGCAAGGAGGAGATTTGGGGCTCCAAATGCTCTTCACATAATGCTGTCGATATTTTCACTCCTGTTGGCCAGAGGACAGTTTCCACTAGTCTGTAGACCAGGTTTGTGTGAGAGAAGCAGGAGGTTACAAAAGGATTATGAAAAACTTTGACTCCCCAACCACCAGCATGAACTCTTCAACCATTTTCCCTTCCTGACTCCTTCAACCAGCCTGGACTCCTTTCTGTTCTTGAATCGATGCTTCCTCCGTCTGGAATGCTTTTCTACATTCGCTGCATTATTTCCTCCATCACAACATTTCAATTTCAGCTGAATGCTGCCTTCTCAGAGAAATGATTCCAGAGAGGCTAAGATACATTTGATTTGCACTTTCTTACCCATTACCTTATATTATTTTCTTCAATGTATCCCATCGCTCCTGGAATATATCATACTTACTTATTTGTTTACATGTTTATCTTATATCTCCCCCATTATGATGTAAGCCCATGAATGCAGAATTTTGTCATATTCATTATATTTTGAGATTTTAGCAAATGCTTATGGAGTAAAAGAACAAAGGAATGAATATAAGCTATATATATTCATATACAGCTAGCAATAGAGTTCAACTGGGTAGAGAGGCAAATGAGGCCAGAGCTAACATTCTGCAAGGATATTATGTAAGAGAGGGAAGGGGTTATGTGGAAAAACAGGAAGCAGTGTTTCGAGGGGAAGAAATCCACAATATGGACTACAGTTTGAAACTAAGGACCTACACATTCTTAGCTGACAGTAGAAAATATTAAAGGTGGGGGACAGTCTGTTGGTCTTTAGGAAATGAGATTGTGGTGGCAGAACCTAGGAATCAATACAAAGGAGCCTTATTTTGGAGGTAGTTGGGATAACCAGCTCTCCTTGCTCCTACAAGGCTCAGCTTGAGGCCTGGCTGAGGAACCTCAGACCAACGGGGAAAACCCAGATGTGTGTCTAATAAATTGAGACCTGTGAAAGCAGTGGTTCTTAAAGTGTGGTAACTAAATCAGCAGCGTCAATATCGCTTGGGAACTTGATAGAAATGCAGATTAGCTCTATCCAAGATTTACTGAAGGGGAAACTCTGGGGTGGGCCCAGCAGTGTTGGACAGGCCCTCCAGGCAATTCTTATGGATGCTAAAGTTAGCAAATCACTATCTTAAAATTAACAACCAGATGCCAGGTTGATGAAAACATGGACACTTAGCATAAACATTTAAACATTTAAAAAATGACATTTTGAAGTTTTTATTCACTATTTTAGCTGTGCTCTGTCAAGGGAAAGAGTATTAGAATAACACTGGCACTAATCTTTAAATTAAATCAAATTATGACATGTCGTACCTGACATAAATTGTCTCCATTTGTAGATTTAGCTTCTGAGAATTGCATTTTTGAAAGAATTGTAGAATTTAAGGAATACAAAAACCACTTTAATCACTTGTATATATTAAACACCAATTTTAAGGTCATAGGGAAATTCCTGTTCTCAGTAGAGATAGGAGTTTGTCTTTTATTGTATATAAGTCTGAAGCTCTTTTAAATCCTATATTCAGGAAGTGATTTGGGATGTACATAATTTTAAAATGCATAGTATTAAATATAATATTTAATAATATAATATAATTATATTATAATTAATAAATATAATATTTAATACTTGTGTAAGTCCTTCTCTTAATTTAAAAATCTCCTTATACAGGATGTTGTTTCATAAAGCTTTCTTAATTCTGATACCCATTCCAAAGAGGATAGGCAAGAATAGCTCTAAGGAATATGTCTTTGCTTAGTTTTACTCAAAGAAGATACTGAGAAGTCCTGTACTTCAAAATAAAAACTGTTAAGATTTAATTCAGTGCTCCCTAAAAGCTTTTTTTATCACTGATTCCCCCACTTTTTTCTCTATAATAATTTGTTCCTGTGATATTTTAAGAAATGCTGATTTTGCCTAACGCCTTCACTTAATGGTTATAGCAGTACAAGGACTTGGGCCCTTTACCTCATGTACTTAGTTTCCCGGCTCCCTTAGTCAGGGGTCTTTTAAATAAAATGAAAAATGTTAGTGCTTGGTTCATTTTAGTAAATTGGTAAATGTAAGTGATAAGGAGCTATTTTACTAATTTTAATTAGTTTTATTTTTACATTTCAAAGCGAGAGCATGTGTTATACTGATTGTTTTTAAAAAAATAACTCACCTGTAGCAAATAGTGAAGAGAGATGGCACAAAGACAGATAGACTGCTCAGGAAGTGATGAGCTTCCAGCTGGAGAGTGGGAATGGGGACACCATTTCTCAAGGAACCTGGGTTTTGGTCTGTGTAGAGTACTCTGCTCAGGCTGCCTTGACAGAATACACAGCCTGGGTGGCTTAAACAACAGATATGTACTGAAGGCTACACATCCATGAGTACAGTGCTGGAGAAGTCATTGTCCGGTGAGAGCTTTCTTCCTGGTTTGTAGACGACCACCTTCTTGCTATGTCCTCACACAGCCTTTCCTCTGTGCTCCCTTGGGCAGAAAGAGAAAGATCTCTCACATCTCATCCTGTTCGTATAAGGACATCAATTCTATCAGAGTAGGCCCCCACCACTATGACCTCATTTAACCTTAATTATCTCTGTAAAGGCCCTTCTTCAAATATAATCATATTGATGGTTAGGGCTTCAAAGTATGAATTTGGGGGGAGAGGGGCACAATTGAATCCATCCCACTGTGTAACTCCCAGGTGGTTTTATTCTTGGAGATACAGGTTAATCCCTATATAAATGCTGGATTAAAGTACTGGCTATATATAGTATGTGCATTATTAAGCTCACATCCTTCAGGGTCAGGAAGATCATGTGAAATGAATGAAACAGAAAGGCTATGTTAAACATGACCAGTCTAAAGAGGGTGGCCACCCTTAGCTCTAGAGGTTGCTGCCTGTGGAAATGCAGAAATGTGGAAAGGAGGGGCTAACGATTGCCAGACCATTTGATTTTTCAAGTGAAGTCAGACTCTGGACTCTTGTGAGAACTCTCCCAATTTTCACATATAGGAAACTGTTATTAGGTCTATAAGATCAATAGATATTTAAAGACAGACATTTTCTTCAATGGCAGTTAATGTAGGAAATTAGAGAGAAGCCTATATAAAGCAAGAGACAGTGTACGTTCTCATGTATGGTCGTGTAAACTTCCTAGTGCCTTAAAGTTACCCCCAGATACACACTGGTGATGATATCAGCTGTACAGAAAGAAAATGCTACCAGTCATGAGAATCCAGCCTAGTAATTGAGGCAAAACTATTTGAGCACATTTCCAAAGTTTATAATGTAAGACAGGACAATCTCAGGTCCATTTCCCAGCCATAGCATCCCTCAGAGGCACTAACTAACTAATTTTGTTTAAACCACTATGTGAATCAGCACTGTGCAGGCTAAGGGCACATTTGTATCTATGATGTAGAGTGGGGAAACAAGCCCTGAGAATAATCCTTGACATTAAAAGAGTGAATAAAAGGAGAGAAACCACTGAAGAGGCAGAGAAAAGAGCTCCTACACGAAATTGAAGAACAAATAGGGCTAACTGATATTTTTGAAATGGAGAGTAGAGGAACGAGGCAACAATGTCAAATTCCATGGACGAATGAAGTTAATTGGAGAAAGTTTATACCAAAGAATAACATAAAATAGTATGAAGTTTAACATTTGAGAGGCAGTACTCTCCTGGATGATCAAGC